GCTGGATGGCACATGAACAAACTGCCAACACAAAAGGGGAGGACAAAGGGACAAAAGTGTAAGCTTTGCCCAGGTTTTGCCAACGATCTCTACGCTGGAGGATGTTCAGCCTAACTCCATGAAAGGAGCCCTGATCCCACTGCACCTCTGTTTCCTGTACACCCCCACATGGTGGGGGCAGAGCCATCAGCACAGCTCCCAGGACTTCTCCAGGAATAACCAGGAGCTTCACAACAGAGAGCTCCTCACCTTTGTATGACAATCACCTCTCCAGACCTCTACATTTTAGTTCTTGAGATTCATCTCTAGTTTATTCTGACAAAAACAATCCCAACAGTGGGTGACCAGAGCCTGGCTCTTTGCACCTACAACGCTGTCACTTTTCCATTTCGAGTTCTCCCACCCATTTTACATCCATCTCCATGAGCTAAATGACCCCTCCTTACCCTTCTGCCTTGCTCCAGTATCTAAATGTTCAATCAAGCAAGAGTAGGAAAAAATCTTTCCAACCTGTTTTTACCCAGTAGGTTGTATAAGTGAGGAGAGTCCTAAGGAACAGACAGACTTAACAACTTGGAAGGACACTCTTTTGGATGACTGTTCTTCCTAGCAGGAGCCTGAAGCAGCAGAATACAAACCCAAGCCACACTGGGATTTACATGGGATGGGTTGTAGCAGCAGCACTGGATGCACTGGGCAGCTCAGTGACTCAACATGATGAACCCTATGATGAAATGAGTCCCCCAAGGGTCTGGCACAACATGTGTCCCCCTGGGCTGAAAGAGGAGGATGGAGCTATACAACAGGGAGGTATGAGGTCTGCTGCAGCTAATGTCCTTCCTTCTGGAAGATTACAAGCAGATAAGCTCCTAGTCTATCAAAAGTGTCTGACCCACTGGCCTGGCAGCTTAATACTGACAAATATGGCAAAAATTCTAATACTGTCTCCTGTGGTCCTTTCCCCATAGCATGTGCCTCCTCCTTCTCTTCCCCTCCCCTGAGAAAACAGGAGCATGAAGCGGTTGTTAGATGTGTACTACCGTAAGAGGGGAGTGGAGGAGGTCTAGAGAACCACTTGGCTGGGTGGAGACCAGAAAGCAGATTCCCTCAGCTGGCTGGTGTCCTGTTTTCTTGCCCCAATGCTGAGGAAGAGACCAGAGGGTTTGAAAGGCAGGTTGTAGGAAAGCTTTAAGGCAGACTGTTTGGTTGCATGGGGTTGTGTTTCACCCTGTCCTGACACAGTAAGGAAATGAGTTGTATGGGACATAGCAGCAGGAGTAGCAGCAGCAGACATGCTCAACTGACAAGTGCGGGCACGAGTTACCCTCTCTGCTCCTCAGAAGCAATATCATCCATATTTCTTGATGCCAGTCCTTAGACTCCCCACTCCCTGACTCCACCATGGGACCACCTGCCCACCTCCACACAGAAACATCCCAGCAGCCCTGCAGCTTGCAGGCAGGCTACAAGGGGGCTTTTTGTTGGCTTTTTGAGGACAGGGGGAGAAATAGGAGCTCTACAAAAAGGCCACTGCAGTCTGCTGAACTCCCTGCCTGGAAGGAGCATTCCTGTGAGGAGCAGACACTTCCCACATCTTGAGCTGGCTGGGCGTCTGGCAAGTTGCTTGCCTAGAGGCGCAGCCCCGTGGAGATCCCACCCCAACCTCAGTGCCCCGAGCATGCGATACCTTGGCATTCAGCATCAGAAAAGGCTCATCTTGGAGTCCTCCAAGAGCACAGCCTCTTCCATGAACGGTCTGAGTTGTGAGTGGTGGAGAGGGGAAAGTGTTTTTGCGATGATCATAATCTCTCACTCTTTCTCTCTTTCTCTACTTATTTCTATAAATATGTGTACATAAATAGCTTGTTTCTCGCCTTGAATCTAGATATGAACTGTTCAAATTAGGTGGGCATAACATGCTGTTTTGATACATGAAAGTCTTCTCAACTTGACTCTTGGTTGTTTGTTTCTTGTCATCATTATTTAAGATATAGTTAATACATAAACCCCTACTTTGAGTTCTCCTTGGACAAAAATTAAAGGCAGACTGGTTGAATTCTAAGGGTCCCTGGTGCAGAAATGCCATCCAGTTGAGCAGCTAAATGTTAAAAACGATACCAAAAGGGATGTGGTGTCTCTCCTAGCCTGCCTTGAGCAGTGTGGTCCTCCATTCCACGTCACTTGGCATTACCCAAGACTGAAGCCACGGAGGTCTTTCTGATTGTGCTCTTGGGCCTTGGGGTCCCGGCAAGCACACTCTCCTTGTAGGTCACAGGACATAGGGAAGGGAGTAACCTGGGGAAGGAAACCAAAGACACAAAGACATGAAGGAGGGTACACACCTTCAGCATTCTGGAAAACAAACGAGATCTCTTGAGTGGCATCTTCAGACACCAGCTGCAGCCTTCAGCTGTGTCATTTTTTTTACAGTGATTTTAGAGCTGGTGGTGCGCTGAGGCCTCAAATGAGCTACCTGTCCAATAAGAGAGGCTGTGAAAAGTGTAAAGAAGAACCTGTTCAACTCAGGCAGTTACCAGTCAGCAGATACTCCCTTAACAGTTCACATCAGGCACATGAACATAGCTGGCTGGTGAGACACATACTTGTCAGGAAACTCTGGGGTTTTTTGGGGTACTTACCACGATGTTTGGATCAGAGTACACTGCGAAACTCTTCTGAAAAGCTATCCTTACTAAATGGCAGCAGAATAACAAACCCCTCAACTCACATGACCAACTGAAATGATCACCAAACACAACTGGGCCCAGCAGGTCCCAACTCCAGTCTTCTGATAGCACTCCTGTGCACCTCCAGCTCAGGGGGTTTGGTGAAATCTACTCCCGGGCCATAATCTCCCCTCTGTAGGGCCCTATGGCTTGGATGCTGCTGCTGTGCCCAAGTCCATTTGTGCACTGAATTATGAATGTTCTTGGTTTCAATTCCTCAGGGCAGGAACAGAATCAAACACTGCCTAGCAGATCTGTGAAGCTGCATCCCAGCAGAGAGACTTCTCTAAATACCTGTTGTGTTTAAGGTCAAGAGGTGCAGCTAATGGGCACTGAGGAACAGCAAAGGAATGCAAGTAAGAGACTGCTACATACGTGATCTGTCATCTGTCCACGGTCTCTCTGGAGAAGCGTGGGAAGGAGTTGAAACAACAGCCTGCAGCGCCTGGCTAACGGAAGTTGATTTTGGCCTATTGCATCATGGTATTTACAGAAAGAATAGGGGGTGGCAGTGGAACAGTGTCTCAATTGTCCTGAAGTGAATTCCCAAGAACTTCTCCCATCTGCACAGACTGAGCAAATGACCTCATTCCCCTTTTACACTTCTTCCAAGACAGTGCCACAACCTGTTCAAACGTTCCCGGCGAGGGCTGCACGCGCGCATTCCGTCTCCTTCCCTTGGCTTTGCCACCACACGTTTGCTCTCTCTGTCATAAACACTTTTCTCCAGGCTATGAAGCCTGGGTCTGCCTGTTCCCTATGTCCCATCAACAGCACATCTAGGAATGCGGACCAAGCACCGTGCGTGAACACGTAGCTGTCATTTCCACATAGACCTCCCCTACGTGTCCCTGCACGTCCATCTCTAGCACGCCTTTCTCCTGATGCACGCAAGAACGGGATGGAGAGGTGTGGAGCTTTATTTCACAACTGGGAAGCCTAAGGCAGGGACAAGCTGACAGAGACGTTAAACAGTCAATGTTCATCATCAAATCAGGATTTAGAGAGACTCTCCCCCTTGCTTTTCACTTCATTCCCAGAAGACCTGACCCTCCAGTTAGAATAGGGTGATGACTCTTCATCCAGCCATGGCCTTCGTGACTTACGAGCTAACGAACCAACCAGTGAATAATCTGAATCGACAATTGTGCAAACATGGAGGTTGCAAAGAGAAGAGAGAGTCCAAAAAGTTAAAAGCAAATGAGTTCAAATAATTGGAAATTAAAGAAGTTTATAAACTGCAGAAAACAATAGGAGCTTAAGGGTCACTTAATCCAACAGAAGCCAGCCAGAGCAGGACTGTCTCATATCACAGTGTTATGAATGTTCTTCGATAGGAAAACAGAGAAGTCCGCAAACAATGGGGCTGGGGTAGGAGGCTGGGGAGAGATTGTTTAATGACCGAATTAAAATACTGGAAGGGAAAAAAGAAAAGATACATGAAAAAAATTGACTTTTTTGTTCAGTGTAGAAAGAAACATTTTGGTTTAGATTATCTGCTACAGTTTAGATTTGACCTTTCCCTCCAAGACATACAAATAAAAAAAAGGCTGTTTCAGAGCAAAAGTTGTGTCTCAAAATAAAAGCTTATTCACTTAGAAAACGCTCAAACAAAACATTTAAATATGTCTGGAGTTTCCCCCTATTTTTACTTTTTATCCTGAATCATTCAGATCAGTCTGGATTTAGCAATGATTTTGACTTTAAAAAATCTTCCTGATGTACAACAAAGCTACTGGTTGGAGGCGAGACCTGGGAACCTGATTCTTTCACTTGTCTTGATCAAGGTTTTTCCTCTCCCTGGCCTGGATTCACTGCGTGTCTGTAACAGTCTAACAAAGGCAATTAACTGCCCCCTGTGTTAAAAGGGGAGAGACAGGCTCGCAGAGAAGGTGGATACACATTTTGCATTGAACACAGGACAAACCACACACCCAACTCGGGCATTTCAGTAAAGTGGCTGAAATTAGCTGTGACATCGTACTGCACTTTGTCTCTGCTGCTGTCCATGCTAAGTCGGACAGTGAAATGTGTTGCAGGCATGGAGATCCCATAAATCCCACCATTTCACTTGTGGGAATGTCTGAGCCAAGAGTGAAAGCCTGGCATGACTGCATCTCCAAACTACAAGCTCAACTACCTTAACCTACGCTGTGAGCTGTGCTGAAATAGTGGCCTTAGAAACCCAGACTGGCATGGATTTGATGCTGCCTTGAAATGATCTATCTTCTTCATTCCCTCTTCTCCTGTTTCTCCTTGCGAGTCCCTCGTTTTCCCCTTTACTTTTTTATAGGTCATCGTAAGCGTGTGCTCAACACTGGAGCAACCCGAAGAAAAGGTGCATGTAAGAGCCTAGATGGCTACTACATTGCAGCCAATTTCTGGGGAGAGGGAGCCACTAGAAAATAAATTTCTTGCCATATGTTGTCCTCTAGAAACCCTCCAGTCTCCTAAGAGCGGTCATAGACAGAAGAGCAGAAGCTTTCTCTCTGGGGCAGAGCCCAAGAGCAGACAGTTTCATGGCTCAGCAGCAGTCCCAGCAGTGGGGAGCCTGAGTGTAAGAAGGTTTCTTCCTGATGAGATTAGCCTTATTCACTCTATGTCCCTTACAGAGTTTTTTTTATGCAATTTGATTTTTACAGTGCTATTGTCCAGACAGATGAATTGTTTTGTCTTATGGCAGTGAGCTCCAGAGATCAGTTTTCTATTATGTGAAAAAGGAGAGATTTCTATGGGTAATGAGCACGTCCACAGTCATATTAGACAAGACAAAATTCTCCAAACCCTTAGCAGTAATACAGGGTTTCCACTTTAAACAACATCTACTACAAATACACATTTAAGTTCCCCAAGGCCCTGATTTCCAGAGGTAAATAGGGAATCAAACCCACACACAGCATCTGCTAGGATTGTCACAACTATCCAACTCAGAGAAACCGCGAAACCCCTTAGAAGAAGGACTGCCTTTTGCCTTGCTTGTATAGTGATAGTTCTCTGGAGTACAAAGCCATGAATAAAGCTGCTGGATGTGCTAGAAATAATAAATGCTGAACCTTTTTCTGAATGATAGCCCACTTAGGTGTGGAGCCCAGATATACATACTCCAAGATTAACTGCTGCTTTTCTTTCTAAATAGGTCTGTGAAAGCCCAAGTCATTAACAGAATATATGACTTGCACTCAAATTTACAGATATACCCATTGTTAAGCCAGCATTACAGAATTGCCTCTTCCTTCCACTCGCCAAGTCCTACATTCACCCTATTTCTATCTCCCCTTGTAGAAAACCTGGCTAATATCTACAAGAGCAGGGAGAAAAAGCTAAAATTAAGCTTAGGGACTGGCTCGGTCATTTGATGAAGCAATGAAGGATATGGTTCCTCAGACGAACTAAAATAGATTGAAAAGGACACAACAGAAGAACACAGCTCTGCACACCTACACACAAACATCTCCTGGAGGTGATCCAGAACAGAGCCATGGCTTGGGTCAAGAGCACTCAGGGGAGCGTGAGTCACACCTGAACTGCACTGGACCACAGACTATTTATCTTCAAGAGAAAACAGACACAACCTAAACCACATCCGTCGCCCCAGGAGCTTGCACTGCATGACACAACATGGTCTGAACCCAAAGGAGAAATTGCAGCAGGCGGAGGCTTACAGGCTAGGCAGGAGGCTAGAGCAGACATCTGGGGTGGAACGCACAGGAGACCAGAGACACCTCAACCAACTCACTCCCCATGCTGCCCAGCGTATGAACCCATACTTCCATTCTCCACAAAGGCACGGGAGCCCTAAGTATTCCCTCCCATGCTAGGCAATGAGCCCTTGGATAAAACTCAGCCTCTCTCATGCAAACAGGGTGGCATTTGTCCTTGATGCCATGGTCCCGATTGTGGGAACAAAGACAACGATACAACAAACCAGTACAGAACTGGGATCTAGGTCATGAAATGAGCGAGAGGCACAAATCCTCACTACAGGGCACCTATCTAAAGAGGCTGGTGACATCCCAAGGCAGATCCTGGCTGAGAAAGGCCAGTCTCCAGGGAACTGGTGGGAATGTTGACAGGAAAAATCGCAGACAGGTATAGGAAGGGATGGGAAACAGTTCTGCAAAGGGTTGGAGCTCATACCTCACACAGGCTCCTATCAGGTTGACCCAGCCGTGCCTCCCACCCTGCACACGTGGGGCTGGTTCCCAGCAGCACCATGGCAGGCAGAATCGGGCCTGCGGAAGGGCCTGGGTTGGAGGTGGGAAGGGGGGTAAGCAGGGGAGGAGTGCTGCAAAGTGTTGGGAAACAGCCTGTTGTTAGATTTCAGCCCTGAAGTGTTTGCGAAATCTCCCAGACAAGGCTCACTGGAAATAGGAAGGCCTTGGTGCAGACAGGGGCTCCACAGCAAAGGCGGCGTGTTGAGATAAGCGCGACAGGCCGTGCTGAGTGTCGCAGCCCCGCGCCTCCCCAGGCCCTCGCCGCTCCAACTCTGGGGAGTATTTTGTTCCCTGACAAGGCCCTTGTGGGTCAAAAATGCATCTTGTAAGGCTCTTCCCAGGGGTTTTCGGCATT